GAAAAGCAAGGGTCAAAGGTGAGTTAGGATGGGTCAAAGGTGAGTAGGAAATGTGAAAAAGCAAGGGTCAAGGTGAGGTAGGCTGGGTCAAAGTTGAGTAGAAAATGTGAAAAGTAAGGGTCAAAGGTAAGTTAAGGTGGGCCAGTTGTGGAGGTAATACTGATCATTGAGTCTAATATTAGAATTGTGAAAACATGTTTTAGAAAATTATAAGGATGATTCTTGAAATGTGAACAGCACTTTGTGGAATAAAAATATTAGGTTTGTTACTCCTATCCACTAATTAAATTACCGGATACTACTTGTATTATGCATTCATGTATAAAATTATTTGTTGTTTTTTTTAGAGAAAAATATTAACCTGGATTTTTCAGAAGAAAGTTTCAAATTGCAGTCGTTTGTACCATTGAAAAAACTACAGAGGTATGTAATAGTTGTATCATATCATAAGTGAGCATTTTTACTAACTATTTGTATTAAAGTTCTGTATGATTAATATCGTTTGCTAATAAATAGTTTCAGGTGAATATGAAATATTAATATGTTTTATTTTTCATAACAGTGTTATAGAGGTGTGTGGTCTGTTATTGAGTAACTTGTATCATGTGTTGGAACCATATCTATCGCTTGTGTTACACTCAGTACTGCAAATTACATCTAGAGTTTCGCTTGTCTTAGAGCAGAGAGATTTGGTGAGTAATAATATTAAATCCATGCAGCTGGTCATTGTTTTATCATTCAATAGATTTTATTGAGGCACCATCCAAGTAATTTTGCTGGATACTTTCCCTGATTCCGTTTTCACTCCATTTAAACACATTTTATTTTAAGCCAGCAGTTTGTACTTTTTGTTTCGCTCTTTCTGCCTAAAGAGTAAGTATCAGGAATGTTTTGTCTTTCCCACTTGAAAATATTATTTGGCCATGTGAGGACGCAACAATTTTCTACTTCTACCTCATCAACCTGTGCAATAAAAAGTTTCATTGAATAGGAAATTGATATTTGTGCATGTGACGCATGCATGCAAACCATCTGTCAGTATACATGTATCTATGTTAAATTGGTGCAAATATGAAATGAATCATAATGGAGAACGAATTAGATCTGTTGAATTTTATTACCATTTTTGACCCCTCCAAGAATAATGCATTCCTGTGTTTAATTATAATCAATATTTTGTTTTTTTGTTTAACGAGTAACTCTTAAAGTCACTAAACAATATCTATGACTAATACAAGCATAATTTTATCAATTTATTTAATTTGTAGGTACATATCAAGTACGTGAAACCTCTGCGTAAATTACGACAGCTTGGTGTAGACGTAATCAATCAATTCTTCCAACAATGTGAATTGTACGAATACAGCGATATCGAACTACAAGGCCTGTATGGTGGGATTGTGTGGCCGGTTATACAAAGATTGACACAGGAGTGTCTGTACAGTCCTACGGCTGTTTTGAAATTAGCATTCACATGGACTCAGCATCAGAGGTGAGTACACACAAAATAAATTTCCTTGAAGAAAAGGTCACAGTGTTATGTGAATATTCTCGAAATTGTAAGTCTGTGGTCAGGTGCTTTTCTAAATGATTATAATATACATCCGTGACTGAAAACATTTATGGAAATCAGTCATCATTAAAAAGCCATATCTAAAAATTTACAAGAATATTTACCAGAAGTTTGCATGCACTGAAGCTGTTCCACGGCATCTACTCCACTACACTTTGGTCACTATGGCTGCAGTACGTTATTGGTTATCTGGTATTAACCTCACGGTCTAAGCATGTACAGTCACATTTAAATGGAAGCACTAAAACATACCCAATGCACCTGAGGTAATTTCCTGCTTTGTATACTTCTCTTCTTCTTTCAGATTGCATCCATTATTGGTTTACTATCCGGACGACAAGCTGTCCCTGCAAGTATTGGGTCAAATTATGGAATTATTGTCCAATAAACAAATTGACCAATCGGTGACCACTATGATAATTGATATGATTGATAATTTGTTACCTATACAAGATGATGATGATGACATCACAGATACTATTTATAATTTCCCACCCAAGTATATCAAAACAGGTAAATAATATTGTATTCTTTTGATGAACTTGACACATCATCTGCTGAGAGTCTCTACAAGCAGCCAAAATAAAAAACGTTGTCAGCGGTTGTTGGGTTAATATGAGTTACTAAAAAAAAAATAGTCTGAAACCAAAAAACAAAAATAATATGCAGCCAGTCCATCCCACATAAAAATTATTGCTCCAAACCCCCATCAAATTAAAATGTTATCGGTAATTAATTAACTTAGAATTTAGTGACACACCATGTCCAAACCAAGGTCTGTATTATTAAGAACTACCGTCAATGATGAATCTATGTGCGTATTGTAATATGTTCTGTTTATGTTTGAAGATGCTTTCTGCTCTGAATGCGTCCTAAGACCGTACATACTGACTGTACTTCAGTATCTCAGACAAGTTGTGCAGGAAAAGACCAACAGGAAAAAGAATCAAAAGTGTGCAATACCAATGAAGGAACTGCATATCTTATCAAAGTAAGTCGTCTATATATTATTGACACCCAGAAGTCATTTTGTTTTTAACTTACTTGATTCGATTTTCAGAATGTTCATATTTTCCTGAAAATTTACTAGTTATTTTTCATGATTGGCTGTTTTAAAATTCTGGAGGAAAAACTGGGATACTCGAAATACCAATTGAAAATAGAAATTGTCACCATGGTATAATTTAACACTGTAGGGAAAATGCAAAGTCATTATTTCGATGCAAAAAAGTTCAGGCAACCCCA